TATAAATGTGTTCCCTTGGGGTTGGGTACATCGAGTATTCATAACATTCTTTTAAAAGCATATATTTCACCTTTTTATGTATGGGTAAAACTTTGCAGTACGTGAAAAGGTATGAGTAATCATTTCGATATTTTTCCTTAATGTGTTGAGGCAATATAGATTTTAAAATTCTTATTTGTAAGCTGTAAATTTTATCTAGTGTTACGCCACACCGCCACAGCCAATCACAGCGCACCATTCAAGCCAGCCAATCGTAGCCAAGCCAAACCAAAGCCACCACTCTAATTACCGGATGCCTCTGGTAGGGGGTCCAGCTATACAGTGCCTTACAACCTCATTTTTGGGAGTTCTTATAATACCGCTCTTATAAGGCGAAACGCTGTCGAAATATTAAAATTAAATAAAATTATTGTGTTTATAGTTTTCTACCTTCTTTTTATTTTACTAACTGTTACATCTCAGAAGTGGGATAAGAAGTGAAAACTATGAAGCGTCGTCACGTCAATATGCCAAGAAAAGGCCATAATGTCCGCCCTCAAGAATGGAGTGAATCACCATGTGAAGATTCATCAAAAAAAAGCGACACTGAAGACGAGGACACACAACCAAATACTCCTCCAGCACGGAAAATCCTTAGAAGGCTATTGGAAACCGAGGTACAAAAGGCAATGCAAGGGTTAGACGAAGAGTTACCCTCCGTAACCACAGGAAAAGAACACCGCGCGGCCTCACTTATTCCAGAGTTCGACCCCGATAGTGAAGAATGTAGTACTGCAACAGCATGGCTCAAAAAAATAGATCAACTCGGCGAAATTCACGGCTGGAGCGAAACTACAAGGTCGTTTTACCTGCAACATAGATTAAGAGGTCAAGCAAGACGATGGTACAATCGGCTTGATGAGTACGATTTTTCCTGGCAAGAATGGAAACAGATGCTGGCGCGTGCTTTTTCTAAACATCGCGATTTCGGAAACATGTTAGAAGAGATGATGAGCAGAAAGAAACTACCAACGGAATCGATGACTAAATACTACCAAGATAAAGTGGCCATGTGCTTCCGGTGTAAGTTGACTGACAACGCAACAGTCTCCTGCATCATTCGTGGTCTACCATCATCTCTACAAGCGAACGCGAGAGCATATCGGTGCGAGCATCCCGAAGAATTATATGAAGGTTTCCTTTGTGCACTGGACGATTATCAACCGCCGTCAACGTCAATTGGAACACGTGTGCAAAATAAAGATACCAGCAATCGACAGATAATCGATAAAAAATACACACCTATTAACCCTGACATTGATCCATGTCCGCGCTGTAAGAAGACCGGCCACATATTACGTAACTGCCCTTATCCAGATTCGCGAACATGCTTCAAATGCGGCAAGCAAGGCCACATTGCTACGCGCTGCGCAATCTCTCTGAAACCTGCAACAGCGATTGAAGGTAAAGTTATGGAAATTAAGGTTTTACAAAACCACAATAAGATTTACGAAAAAGCGGTAAAAATCAACGGCATTCACGTTAAATCTTATATTGACACCGGCAGCCAAGTAAATGTACTATCTATCCACGTGTCGAGACTATTGGATCTCAAAATTAGCCCGACCGACATCATCCTAAAAGGATTCTCGGGAGAGCATTTACCCAGCTGCGGAGAGGTAGCTTTCAAACTAGAGATTGATAATATGCATATCCCTTGCAAGGCTCATTTAACAGACGTAGATATGGGGAACATCAATCTTTTGGTTGGACAACCCATCATCAACAGTGATGGAATGACTTTAGAGGTCAGGGAAGGAAAAGCCACTCTGAAACAAGACACTGACTTTATTAGACAAATGGATGCGATTGAAGAACGCGCTCGCTTTAAGGTCGCCGCTACAGAAAAAGAGTCTCTATTGCCTGGACTTTCTATCATCAAAGTCAACGTGATAGATAATGATGAAGATAACGACGTCGTCACTACGCCACAACATTATGAGCTACGAGGTGTTTCGTACTCAATTCCCGCCACTCTGCTACGAGGCACCGTCGGGTACATCAAAGTCATCAACAATGGAGCTCAAAACGTCATCTGGGAGCAGGGAGAGGTGCTGACTAGAGCGGATAGCTGCGTCGCCTCACCGCCACCAGAAGTTCAGGTTAGCCCACAAAACTACACTTTGCCATTGACTTCAGTAACCAAAGCCAATAATGATTGTTATAGCAACTCTATAGCATCTCTGTTGCACACTAGCCTAGCCCATGTTAGCACTATTGGGGGAATAAACGTAGAAAATATTAAGTCGGGTTCATTAAATAAAAACGATCACGATAGTTTAATTGCCTTATTGACTAATTACAGTGACTGTTTTGCGAATAAAACACAAGACTTGGGATGTACAGATTTATTAAAAATGAAAATAAAATTAACAAGTGATCAGCCTATATACCGCCAACCCTACCGTTTGTCACATAGTGAGCAGGAGATAGTTAGGTCCAAAGTCACCGAATTATTAGACGCAGGTATAATCCGAGAGTCTGAATCTTGTTTTGCTTCTCCAGTTATTGTAAAGAAAAAGAACGGCGATAGTAGGCTCTGTGTCGACTATCGAGCACTTAATGCTATTACAGTCAAAGATAGGTATCCGTTGACCAATATCGATGATCAGGTTTCAAAGTTAGCTGGCAAGAGGTTCTTCACAAGTCTTGATTTAGCACAGAGTTACCATCAGGTTAAAATTGATCCTGAAGACATACACAAAACCGCATTTATCACACCACAGGGGCACTTTGAATATACGCGTGTCCCGTTTGGATTGGCTAATGCACCAGCAGTTTTTATGCGACTTATAAACAAGATCGTAGATTCATTACGAAATCCCAATAACTTTTCAAAAGGCGGTAGTACGAAAACACGCAATAATTTTACGAACGACTATGAAGTGTTAGCATTTTTAGACGATTTGTTGTTACCATCATTTGATGTGCAGTCAGGCTTAGATATTTTAGAGAAGGTTCTTCATAAATTAAGATTAGAAAATTTAAAACTAAACATGAGTAAGTGTTCATTTTTACAAAATAAAATCACATACTTAGGACACGAAATTACACCGAGTGGCATTCAACCGGGCGAATATAAGTTGGCAGCAGTGTCACAGTTTCCCACTCCTAGTAACGTTCACGAGATACGTCAATTTATTGGGTTATGTAGTTACTTCCGTAAATTCGCATCAATTGCTCGCCCATTGACCGATTTAACAAAGAAAAACGTAGCGTGGAATTGGGGCCGTTTAATTGTTCAAATCTAATAGTTTTGAACAATTAAAACAGTGTTTGTGCACAAAACCTATACAAGCTTTATATGACCCTGCCGGGCTAGCATGAGCCGGAGAGAATATATCCCCGGAGAGAGGATATAATTTTTATCCCTTGCTTAGTTTTATCCACCCTGCGAGCATGGGCAAGAGACAAAAATTATATCCCCCGATTATATCCACTGACAAGAGGTAAAATTATCTTACCTCTATAGTATATCCCCCGTTTGACATAACGAGTGGACTTATATCTCCCCGTCCGTAGCATGGGGTCCAGGGGAAGAGAAAAAATTATCCCTTTTTGACATTTGAAAGGACAATTTTATCCTCTTTCGCGGACGTTTGTTTAAGTTTATCTTCATACCATTTTAATACAAAAAAGATGTCTCGAGCCTATTGCAACTACATTTTCGTGTCAGAAATTGAAAAACAAGAAAGAGAATTACATCAGTGATCGATACGTGATCAGAATACTTAATCTATTGGAATTCTCCAACAACGAATTTCTACGCAGGTTTCGGATGCTTAAAGATTGTTTTGTATTTGTGTAAAGAACTCTATGAGGCCTTAAAGCCTATTATAATTCTGTGGATGGACTACCAGTGCATATTGAAGTAAGCATCTGTTACAACCACCTTGTCCAAAAAAGTCTCAATAGCAAAATTAATTATTTGGGCCTCATACTTTTTTTTTATAGAAGAGAAGTCAAACGAGCGTGCACCCGCACGTACGCACCAGATGGCAAGTGACTACCGCCGCACATCATCATCATCACTACATCAGGATTTATCAGGATAACATGATTTAGGTGGAATACGAATATCTTTTATTTTGGATCTCCTGATATCTCCTGGATATCCTGATAAATCCCATTTTGCTAAACATCTCTTGGACACTGGACACAACCTAGCTAGCGACCATTCCTTTGAAGTCTTACATACCTGTAATAAGGGGCTGCGACTGTGTGTGCTGGAGCAGTTGGAGATTTTAAAAAGTAATAATGGTAATTATACACTGCTGAATGAACAAACAAATGTTTCTAATTCACTTTTGTTAAACATCTTTAAGGCCAATCTTTAATAATAATTTTAAGATTAATAATAATAAATAATTATAATAATATCAATAAAACAATAATAATAATAGTATTTAAAATATTAATCATAACAATAATAATAATTAGTAGCAGATTTGTTATCGCACGGCGCGGTCACTCAAAACAATAATAATAATAGTATTTAAAAATAATCATAACAATAATAATAACTGTTGGCAGGTTTGTTATCGCACGACGCGGTCACTCGCTACTTTGGTAGGGAGCGATTGTGTCAGCGTGTATAAATAGCAACTGTTTCGACTCGCCGCTCACTTTCCGCCTGTGGCATCGCTTCCGAGCGGTTGCATCCAGGTAGTCCGCGCTTTCGTTCCTGTACGGTAGTGCTCCCCACTCTCGCGCCCCCGCTGGCCCGCTCGCGCTGTACAGCGCCGACGCAGTGCTCAGTCCGCCGGCGGCACCGCTCTCGGACGGTCGCCTCCTGGTGGTCCGCGCTCCCGTACAGTACGGTAGTGCTGTCGCGCTCTCACGCGCCTCCGCTGTCCTGCTCACGGGGAACAGCGTCGAGGCTGCCGGTGAGTCACTTTTTCGCTACAGCTCTTGCCTCCCTGTCTTCGGGCATGGAGGTCTGACTGACTTCCGCTTTTCATTTTCAACTTGTCATTTCATTTCATTTTCATTATCATTTTTCAATTTTTTTTTTTTTACTGTCTCCTTTATTTTCTGTGTTCTTGCTATTCTTGTATTACGTGTATAGTGTGTCGTAGTACGTCTCGCGATCTAGTCCCTGTTCTACCGAGAGCAGGGACCCGTCCTCATCTTTATTTATACTTATAGCTCAGCTTGCTTATTGACCCAAAATGGCCACACCCAGTTTCACTGAGTCCCTCGCCGCCCTCATTAACCAATTCGGTTTAAATGGCAATGAGACGGTCCTCGCCGCCATCGCCACCATCGCCGCCCAGGCTTCCCTCCCTGCCCCTCAGGCACACCATCCGCCGCCGGTAATCGCATCTTACCTCGAAACGAGGAACTCTTTTGCCCCGCTCGAATCTGCCCCCCTAGAAATGGAGTACGCATGCTCCGAGTCCTCGGCGCCGTCCTCCCGGAAGAGGCGCGCCACTACCTCAGGCTCCGGTTCATCGGAGTCCTCTGACTCCGACGGAACCGGTGAGTCCAACTTCACCACAGTCACCTCCAAGCGCAACGGAAAGCGCGCCGCGATAAAACGCACCCCCCCCCACTTCAGCGGCCCCTGCCGTCCTCTTCAACCTTTGCCAAATTTTTCAAAATTTGCCAATGGTAACAATTAATATTTTGCCTAGCCAATTATATTGCTTATTTTATGACCAATGAAAACTATTTAAAATATACAATTATCTACGTTTCGTTTCCCGGCGTGAGACTTGTTTGTTGTTCACGAAGCTACGTCGCTGGACTGGGCTATATAAGACATGCAGATCGGTGCGCACGCGTAGTCGGCGGGCGGCGGCGGTGTGGAATACAGCTCCGGAACAGCAAGAGGAAACGAACCGCTGAATGATATTTGCGGCTGCTTCTTGTTTCTTTATAAGAACGTCAAATTATCTATATACAGTCCGCAGTATCCCAGTAGCCAAGAATAATTAGGAAATAAAATGTTTTTTTTTTTATTTATTCTCGCCTTCCGCGTTATGGTAGCAGCGGAGTATATATTATTTATTCCCGTTTAGGTTTGATTAATCTGGCTGCTACATCACTCTCCCCCAGCGAAAGCGTACCGGAGGCTTGACGACTCGCCCGTATTTCGTAGTTTTTAAAATAGGTTTCAACTGGGTTGATGTAGATGATGAAGTTTCAAGCTTCCTCGCTGGTGGTTTTGATGATGATGATGAATCCTCTGCAGTATCCTCGTTAATAATATAGGCAGGCTTTAGTCGGTCGATCGATATAATCGTAGATTTCCTTCCGGGTATTTGTAGTTTAAAAGTCTTGCTATTTCTCTCTAATACTTTATACGGTCCATCGTACGTAGGTTGAAATTGTTTTTTCATTGCGTCGTTTCTTACAAAAACTTGTTTGCATGTTTTCAAATCTTGGTGAATGAATACTGATTTATTATTTCTGTGTGATTGCATTTCGGTGCATTTCAACGATAAGGCTTTGTTAATTGATTCTCGAAGTTTAGTTACGAAATCGTAATCCATTTCTTGTTTGTTTGACGCTGCTGAACTGAAGAAGTCACACGGTAGCCTTATGCTGCAGCCGTAGGTTAGCTGAGCGGCGCTAAGACTAGTGTCTGCACGCGGTGTTGCTCGTAGTCCGAGTAGCACTGTAGGTAGCTCATCAATCCACTTTGTATGTTGAGATAAACGAGTTTTGAGTGCAGTCTTTAATGTACGATGCCATCGTTCGATTATTCCGTTTGACTGAGGATGGTATGCTGTTGTACGCGTCTTCTGTATTCCCATAGTTTGAAGAAGTTTGAGGAATAGGTTGCTTTCGAAATTCCTTCCTTGATCCGTTGTGATGGTTTTAGGTGATCCGAAACGAGTAATCCAATTTTCATAAATTATCTTCGCGACGGATTCGGCTGAAGTATCATCGGTAGGTATTGCTTCTGGCCATCTTGTTGTTCTGTCGATCATTGTTACGAGATAACGATGTCCTTGCGGTGAAGTAGGTAATGGTCCAACGATGTCAACGTGCAAGTGTTCGAATCTCTCCGTGGGTGGAAATGTAGCTAGACTACTTGATGTATGCCTTTGAACTTTGCATTTTTGGCATTGAATGCATTGCTTCGCCCAGTTGCCAACATCCGCTTGCATTGCAGGCCAAAAGAATTTTTCAGTGATGAGTTTTCTTGTTGTTCTAACACCTGGATGACTAATGTTGTGCAGTGTATTGAAGACTTCGCGACGACATTCTTCTGGTATGTATGGTCGCATGGTTGTCGTTGAGGCTTCACAGTATATTGGTAGATGCGTCATTGGCATTGTAACTTGCTTGATGGACAAGTTACCTTGCTTCGATAGATGTTTTATGTTGTCACTATCTCTGTCTTGTGCTGCGGCGATCTTATGATAGTCGATTGATGTAGGGCACGTTACACTGTCGATTGGTACGCGACTGAGTGCGTCGGCAACTATGTTGTCCTTTCCACTGATGTGACGTATGTCGGTCGTGAATTCACTTATGAAAATAAGTTGTCTTGCTCTTCGTGGTGTTTCCGATAGTGATGGTTTCTTTGGAAGTACATATGTTAATGGTTTGTGGTCGGTAAAAACGATCAGGTTTCGACCCTCGAACGTTTTTCTGAAGTGCTTGATAGCCATGTAAATAGCGAGTAGCTCTCGGTCGAATGTACTGTAGTTACGTTGAGTATCGGAGAACTTCTTCGAAAAATATCCAAGTGGTTGCCATTTCCCATTGCTGTATTGTTGGAGAACTGCTCCTGCTGAGAGATCGGATGCGTCGCTGAAGATAGCAAGGGTTGCTTCGTGTGATGGGTGAGCGAGTAAAGCTGCATTTTGGATCGCAATTTTACAAGCTTCAAATGCCTTCGTGGCTTCATCGTTCCATTCGATTGACGTTTTATCTTTTTTCTTCGTGTTGTGAAGGTAGGCGTGAAGTGGTGCTTGGATTTCAGCGGCTTTAGGTATGTGTTCTCTGTAAAAATTTATCATCCCAAGAAAACGCCTTAGCTCTTCGATAGTTTTAGGTTTTGCATAATCGATGATTGCTCTGACTTTTTCGGCAGGCGGTTTTATTCCTTCCTTGCTGACGGTGAAACCAAGAAATTGAACTTCTTGCTGTCCAAATATGCATTTCGAAGGGTTGATTGTGATTCCGTTGTCTTCTAATCGCTGTAGCACGGTGCGTAGATGGGTTTCGTGCGTTTCTTTATCAGGGCTTGCAACAAGGAGATCATCAATAAATGCGAAAACGAAATCCAGTCCATGAAGTACTTCGTGTATGAATCTTTGGAAAGTTTGACCTCCGTTCTTTAATCCTGGGATCATTCTTGGGAATTCGAATAATCCCATTGGGGTAATTATTGCTGTCTTCTCTATGTCTTCATCGCGGACTCTTATTTGTTGGTAAGCTCGGTTGAGATCGATGGTGGAGAATATAGTCTTGTCTGATAGTTGATGAGTGAAATCCCTGACTCGCGGTATTGGGTAGCGGTCAGGAGTGGTAATAGAATTCAGTCTTCTGTAATCTCCACAAACTCGTAATTCTCCGTTCTTCTTCGGTACAATGTGAAGTGGTGATGACCAAGGGCTTTTGCTTGGACGGCATATTCCTTGCTCAATCATGTTTTCGAATTCCTTTCGAACTTGCTCGTATAGGTGTGGTGCGATTGGACGTGCACGACAATGAAGTGGTGGTCCATTGGTGTCGATGAAATGCTCAACGTCGTTCTTCGGTGTTAATTTCATTGAAGTTATTCTTGTGATACCAGGGTATTCTTCGAGGATCTTGTGATACGGTTGTTGCACATCTATGCTTCTGATTGTGGGCAGATTGGTTGCTTGTACAAAAGACTGAGATGCAAGATTGGTTTTCCCGTCGATGATTCTTCTATTTTTGATGTCGACGACCAACTGGTGATATTGAAGAAAATCAGCACCGATGATTGGTTTGCTGACTTTAGCGACGATAAATCTCCATTTGAATGGTCGGCGTAGATTAAAATCAAGTTCCATTGTTTTTTCTCCATATGTAGGAATAACCGTATTGTTTGCTACATAGAGTTGAAAATCTAGTGGCTTCAACTTCTGTCCTTGCTTCGGCGGTAACACTGAGATATTTGCTCCGGTGTCGATAAGGAAAGTAAGCTTGCTTTTTTTATCGGTGACGAAAAGACGGTAGGACTTTGCTGTTACGCTGGATCCCGTCGCATCAAGCGTACTAGTTAGTTTTCCGTATTCGTATTTTCATTTTTGAATGTACACGGTGCTGTGCATTTTCTTGCCTCGACCTCGAAACGTCGATGATAGTAGCAGTAAGGGGATCTTGATGTTGAGCTTATTCGACTTCTACTTGCAGAGCGGTTGCGACGAAAAGGTGATCTTCGGTGTTGCTGATTGCGCTGGTTGTACTGTTGCTGGTAAAAGGTATGATGCTGGGAAGCTTTGAGCGCGGCGACTTCGAATGATAGCTTCCGAATTTCTTCGAGAAGAAACTGGGTATCATTGGCCTTTGTTGAAGTGCCTTCGATGATCGATATGTGTGAGCTACTGCTGTTTTCGATCATCTTGTCCGCCAGGAGTGCCAGTTCGTCGAACTTCGTCTGCGTGCTGAATGTTTCGCTGACTGCTATTACCGATCGAATATGTGGTGGTAGGTGGTTTACCCACATTAGCCGTAGTGTTGAATCCGGAACTTTATCTCGCGCCAAAGTACGCATTTTGCGTAGGAGTTGTGTGGGTTTCTGGTCTCCAAGTTCTATTTCTGATAGAAGTTTCTGTAGGTGTCGACTGTCGGATTCTTCGTATGCGGAGATCAGACGATCCTTCAGTGAATTATACTGGTCGACTGCTGGTGGGTTGTACAACAGGTCCGCAATTTGTTCGATGTCTTGTTTCTCAAGTTGGGCTATCACCATCTGTGCTAATTGCGCTTGGCTCTTCTTTAAACCATTCGTTGCGGCTTCAAAACTGACGAA